TTAACATGCCTATATATCCGAATGTATATTATTTAGTTCAGTTTTACACTTCCTTTGTAACAGTCGTTTTTAAATTGCTCTTTTAAATAGGCAACTAGTTCCTCTAAGGCTAAACATCAAATAATTAATTTTTCACTTTCTATTGCAGCAATATGTCACTCCAAGCAACAATGTATCCGGCAAAATTAAAATTACTCAATATTCGGTAAGTAATTTAAAACCCTAAATAGATTTTTACTTGCTCTTAAGATCTCAAAAGACTGTATTTGTTTAAATATAGTAATACGACTTATTTAACATTAATATAAATTATCTGAAGACCAATTAATCTCATTAGGTTACGGTGAATACAACGGAGGGATAAATGGGCGTTTTTCTCGCAATCAATTTTTTTTTTAATATTCGGGCCATGTTAGATAAAGATCAGTTAGTTATTAACTCGCACCTCATAAAAAAATATTTGAATCGCTGCAGTTAAAGAAAATTACATTTTCCTATCAAGCTAAAGGAGAAGTCAAAGTAGAGCTTGTTCTGCTTCAAATGTTGTTTTCGCGATATCTAAATTTTGTTAATCGGTTTAACCAAATTTAGTCTATGTCAGCTGCGGCTTGCTTATTTAGCTGCTATTAAAATACCAGATGTGCACTAAAACGATATTAAATTTTACTAACAGAAGCCGTTATTGTTAATTCAGCCGTTTAAAGCAGAATATCCGAGTATTTCTATCCGCTTTTGGAATTTAATGAAAACTATACATATGCTTAAACCAAGAGATTTAACGCAAATAGACACAACGAAACTCTAACGCGTAAGGAAACAAGCGGCTGAAGAGAAATAACGGAACTATACACTGGACTTTCACCACAGGAAAAATAGTAATGGACCGCATGATATTTACAGCTATCCTTTCCTTGGTTTAATAGGAAAAATCCGCTATCTTACAGTCGTAAATTGAGAGAATGTGAAATTCCTAATGTAGGAAACAGTCTGGAAATTGCTTTGCCTGAAAATGTTAGCGAACATTCTTGCTTGTGTAATCAATTTTATTTGACCTCGAAAAATGTTTCATTATTGTCAACAACTCAAAATTCAAATTAATTACCATATTACGCATAAGCTTTACGAATAATTTTAGCTAGAAATTGTTTTGTAAGTCAAATTCTGCAACAAGCACATGTCCTAAATAAAATTGTGGACAGTGTGATCATACCATCAATATAATTGTTATTTTTAAACCTTTCAATATTGACACGTACTGTGCAATTGTATTTTTCTCGTATATACAGAGATTAGCAGGGTTCTATCTGTAGAAATTGCTGTATAATTGTTTGTGCACTAATGGTACTGAATCGTTTACAGTAATGCATGTTGAGATTATTAGGCGCTAGCTGGATTTGGAATAGGCCAAATACGAATATTAAAAGCTTTTAAATTAATTAAGGGGATAAAGTAGGATGGTGCCGATGATGTGTCGAAATAGAAATTGACAGGCGTTATGAAACGGAATTTGCCATATTGAGTTTAAAAGTAGATGGGTCTTTAAATGTTTAAATAGCTTCAATCGAAATGTTACCTTCTAATTATGCTATGAATAACGCTTTCCAATTTTATTCAATTCCTACCAGAAAAACAGTATCGCCTTGTATCATTGGAATTGATTTTCGACGTTTTGTTCACATATTATACATTATCAAAAGCATTCAAAACTGTACATTTTGCCGAAGATAGCCCACGTTCATAAAATAAATATTGAAATATTTATAACAAGACTATTGAAGCTATTGAAAAAAGTGCAGACAGAACTGCTAGAGATATATAATTTCATTAAAAAAAAACTTTGTACACATTTTTCCCACCCTGTAGAGGGTTAGATGAATCATTTTTTGGAAGTTTCAAACTTCTGATCAGTATCGCAACATTCTTCCTAGATTTAAAAGAGTGTTTAATTTCGTCGCGAAGATTGTCCAATTGGCAGAAATTGACTAAAAGTGTTGAAAAAAGTGTAAAAGTTTTCGAAAACCAATAAAATTTTACCTGTCGATCTTTAAAGAATAAACGTAAAACTTTTAGTTGTGGGAACAGAATTGTTCAATATGTTGCCAGACACTTTCTAAAATAATAAATAAACTAACTTCATTGTTTAATCTTTCTTTAAGTAATTCTTTTTAAGTAAAAATATGCCTTTTAAATAAGCATTGAAGTAGAAAAAAATAGACAAATTACTAATTGTATGCATACAGGGTGTCCCATAAGCTCATGATCAAAAGGGCACTGCGATATTATTTGGACCAAAAGAAGACGATCTGACCTAACTTTTATTAACAAAAAATGTCTGGCTCCTCTGCTATTGATGGTCAAAGTTTTTGAAAAAAATGATCTTTTTTGACATATCGGGAGAATGGTACGATGTATTTTAGTGAAACTCGCTGGGAATTTGTTCTTATGTAACACTCATATTTGGATGAAACAATCGAGTTCAGCCGTTTCGGACAAGTGGTGAATTCTTGAGTGTCGTGGTACAAAAACTACCAGAACTTTTTAGTTGGGGGATGAAATCAACTCATTTTTTTTTTTGGTTGATGCACTATGCGAGTTTCACTAAAATACATCGTACCATTCTCTTGATATTTCGAAAAAGATAATTTTTTGAAGAACTTTGACCATCAATAGCAGAGGAGCCAGATGTTTTTTGTTAATAAAAGTTAGGTCAGATCGTCTTCTTTTGGTCCAAAGAATATCGCAGTATCTTTTTGATCATGCGCTTACGGACACCCTGTATATGCCGGTATGTCCGTGTGTCTAATACATAAACAATAAAACTATGTAACAATAAAATAAATTGGTGCTGTCAAATTACAACCCCATGCCTTTAAATTGCCATCAAGCCATGGTTCTTCCAGGAGGTGAAACAACTGGCAGACCTAAAAAGAAGCAGCTATCTAAAGTACAAGAGCCTACAGACAATAGAACAACAAGCCGAATATGTACAGACTACAAATAGAGTAAACTCAAAAATAAAAGAAATCAAACGAGACTTTTGGATTAAGTTTATTGCCGACATAGAATACGGTATGTATGGCGCACAGAGAAATATATGGAAACTGGTGAAAAACGGGGAAGTCAGTGAATGAGTATGCACAAACCAAAAGAGTGTCTATGGAAACCTGGGAGGAATGCTTCAGACAGCTTTACAAATTTGAAGAAACAGTAAATTCAGAAGAACACAAAACAGTATCTAACGCTGGGATCGACGAATCGGAAATAGAACTTAGATTGAAGAAACTGAAAAACACGAAAGATCCGGGACCAGACAACATACCTAACAAGCTACCGAAATATGGCGGACAGAAACTTACGATGCAACTATGCCTACTGTTTAACAATATTCTGCGCACAGCACGAATACCACAGGATTAGCTTCAAAGCATCACGCTTCCTATCTTTAAAAATTTTAACTACAATGAAACTATTTACAGGAATTCTAAAGAATAAGTTAGAAGAACGCATATAAAACCGCGAAGAACCCCAAGGGTTTAAGAGGAACAGATCAACAACACACGCTATATTCATTGTCAAACAAATAAGAGAAAAGGCTATGGAATTCAACACACCCACCTATATGTGTTTCATAGATCTGACCAAGGCGTTTGATAGGGTGTGTGGTGTGGGAGCTTAACAGAAAGGAATACACCAGCAAACATTTCAAAAGTAATTCACAATTTAAATAACACAACAAAATTAAAATCACAAAACCAAATATCAAATAGCATTCCACTACTAGGAGGAATCAGACAGGAGGATAGTTTCAGTCCATCTCTGTTTAATATCCTCATGGATACAATTATTGAAGCCGTGGCCTCCCTGAACCTAGGGTACAGAATTAAAAACAAGAGAATCAGCATGATATGTTATGCCGACCACGCCGCAATTATCGCGGAGAACGAAGACCACCTCCAGAGGCAGCGTTTCAAATTCCACCAAATCAGCCAACGGCTCAACATGACAATCTCTATTAACCTGGGAACCTGTTAGATGTAAACTTTACTATACGAGCAGAAACAATTAAAACAAACTACATGCTGCGAGTAGCAGTGACGAAGACTCTAAGAACGATCGTGGGACAAACCAGAAGAGGCAGTGAACAAAGTGGAAATAAAGAGACAGTGGTACAGTCACGTAACGAGGATGGACGGAAATCGTCTACCACTTACCGGGTTGGAGGGAAAACCAGTAGTACTTGACCAGCGGGAAGACCACCTAAAATATGGAAGGATAGCTGGCAATCAATACCCCAGGAAATACTGCAGAGGCATGCTCAGAATTAACAGACCGCAGTATCTCTGAAAAGTATAAGAAGAAGAAGAAGAAGCCTTTAAATTAAGTTTTTAAAACAAAATGCTTTCGAATATTTCCAAAAAGTCAAGAAATGATTTGTCGTGCCTTTGCCGGTCGTTGGGTGTAAATCTTCCTTTATCATAATCACGGCTAATATCACAAATAATATATCTATTGCGTTTTAAGTGAACCCTTAAATGCATCCATCTAGTGGATTCTACCAGGCATGAAACTTACTCCTTTAACTTTAACTTCCTTAAACTTTAAATGGCCATTATTTTAGTGTTTTCCGGTAGTTCGTATAAAATATTTCAAGCATGGAATGAACAATTAGCCAGCTGCAAGCTGGTTTCAACTACCGCCTTCATAACTTACAATAAACAAAGCATAATGTAAAGAAACTAGCAAAGTTTCTTGTGAAAATAGACAAAGCAGAAGTTGTTCTATTATAAAGCACCACTGTGATTATGAATTATTTGTCATCGAGGGAACACGTATTTTCCTTTATTGGAAAAGTTGTCGTGCTTCCAACTAATTATTTCCTGCATCCACTAAAACTTGTCCCGAAATTTACATACACAAAAGAATAGATTCGCAGCAGAATCGCGCTGCATAATCACTTTTCGAATGTATGATAATGTTTGATATGTTTTCTTTTTTTCAGCAGAACTGCAGCTTGCAAGTACTAGAAGCCAGCTGGGGATGTTATTAGTGCTGCTGTTCACCCCCCTTATTCCTTTTCTGTTTGCCCAGCAGGAAACAACGAAACCACAGTTAGATAAAATTCAAGCCACTACCATCATACCAGGAGATATAGTGCTTGGAGGACTTTTTCCAGTGCACGAGAGAGGAGAAAAAACACCATGTGGAAACAAAATCTACAATCGAGGCATTCAAAGAATGGAAGCTATGATGTTTGCAATCGATCGCATCAATGCAGATCCTACCATCTTGCCAAACATAACATTAGGTGCTCACATTATCGACACATGTTCCAGAGATACGTATGCCCTAAACCAATCTCTTCAGTTCGTCACAGCATCAGCTTTAAACAACATGGTGACTGCCAATTTTGAGTGTTTTGATAATTCAATTCCACATACAAAAAACAATTACTCCGGTCCGGTTTTCGGCGTCGTCGGTGGTAGTTACAGTTCCGTTTCACTACAGGTGGCAAATCTCTTGGGACTATTCCGAATTCCTCAAATTTCACCTGCTTCAACAGCAAAAGCCCTCAGTGACAAAAATAGATTTAAATACTTTGCGCGTACCGTACCACCTGACACTTTTCAATCCAGTGCTTTAGTTGACATTGTTAAAAGCGTTAATTGGTCATACGTGTCTACGGTTTACTCAGAGGGTTCTTATGGAGAATATGGAATAGAAGTGTTTCATAGAGAAGCGCAAGAAAGAAACGTATGCATTGCTACAGCGGAAAAAGTACCAAGTACCGCCGATGAAAAGGAGTTCGACAGCATCATTATGAAACTCAAAAAGAAAGTGAATGCCAGAGGAGTTATTTTGTTTACAAGAGCTGAAGATGCCAGGTAACTATGCAGTTCATGCTTTTCGCAATATCAAAGCCGTACGTGACTATACAACTGTAACATCATCATTGTCTCTTTTTGAAGTCACCAATTGTTCACGGCATTATCGTTTTCTGAGAAAGTTAAATATAAATATAAACGAAGGGCTCAAAAATCCCGTATTGCTCCAGAACTTTCCTTTGGCTGCTCAATTTGCATGGCGTGTAAATCTTTTTGATGCATTCCGAATTTATTTGGATTCAGTATAAGTGAAAAGTTTTTAAAGTTGGAAATATTACCAGTGCCTTCGTAACATCTTGGAAAGATGTGAGTTTTAAAAGCAATCTTTCTTCCATGCAATTTAGAATAAGAACAAAGACGATAGATGTAATTTGTGGAATGGCCTAGAATAATTTATGAATTTTTATAGTGGGCACAAATAAGTCCGGCTTATCATTTTCAAGCAATGCTCACATCAATCAAGCTTATTCGATTTTCAGAACTTTAGTAATAAACTAACCCCGGAAATATTGGAATCTTGAAAGTCTAGATGAAATAAACTAGACGTTAACATCTTCAACTATTGTTGTAATGCATATAATGTTGAGCATTCTCTTCAAGAACAATAGGTCTGTTAGAGATAGATTTTGCATCTCGTTTTCCTTACAGTATCTGTAACCCCTGAGGAAGGCAGCAGAGCACTGCCGAAACGTTGGAAAATAAAGAATTTTAGCATTTTGGATATGGGTGTACATCTAGCGTAAACCCAAATTTGCCAATTACGACGACAAGAATCCCCAAGAATTTATAAAATAACAATATAAATACACATCGTCCAAGAAACTTATTAATAAAATATATATACAGGGTGGTTTTTTAGTGCGATAGAATCCATTATTTCCGATGGTGTTGAACTTTCGGAAAATAGTTTCATATTAAAGTTGTTGACGCACAAAGTGCGCACATTTTAAAAATATCTTATATGATACAGAATGAAAGAGAAAAGCGAGGCAAGATCAAAGTGTATTTTTTAAATAGAACAACCCATTTTTCATTAGCTCATGAAATGCAGCTTGAAACGCTGCATATGCACCGTAACTTGTTTTTACTTACTTGCGACGTTGGCAGATTATCGCCATTTCAGTCAAACGTTGGTTAAAAACATGGTATCTAAAAATTCATTGTAGAAGCAAAAAAAAGTAGTTTTCTAGGCTTCAATTTTCAGGCTCCCCCGAGAGCCTGAAACTGAATTAACTTGACATTTATATCAAATAAACCTACAATTTTTGGTGTTGTTAACATCTACAACTTTTGTATATAATCATTTTCCCTAAATTTCAAATTACATAATAAAGCGGGGGTGGCCAAAGTTCAATCAATAACCCTTTATATACTGCAAGTAGTTTTCAATGAAGCGAAAAAATGAATGTATTTGGTTTAATATTCCACAAAGCCAGACTTTTGAAGACAATTACGCTTAACTAATTTTACGACTACTGCGTTTGTTCCTGACGTATACATATAAAATATCCAGAAAAACAAGACACATGCACTGCAAACTTATGCTGAAAGAAGCATAACGCTCTCTGAATAATTGCTAAATTCAACGTAAACGAATACATGTGTAATCCACTAAATAAATCTCCAGTTGTTATTCCATCCTCCCTCATATTTTCTTGTAATATTATAACAAAAATCGTTAGAATTTTGTGAGTTGGAAAATTCGCTTACAGTTAGAAAATACTCGAAAAAGTTCCTGCTCAAGTGAAATAATTTTCCGTTATGGGGGTAATTAAGCACTGTCAATTTATTTCAAGCGCGTTTTAAAAACTTCCGGATCGTTTTCCTCCTGCTCTGAATGTCTATTAAATGGAACGTAGATAAATATTTAAACCATTTCTTGTTTTCCTAATTCGTAATAGCCAATCGGCTGTCACATAAATTTTAAATGAAAATTCAAAAACTTAATGCCAATATGTGGTAAAACATAAGTCGAAATATGCTTCAAAAATGAATGATGTAATAAAAATACTTTGGAAAACTAACAAAAGTAATTAGCACCTGACGAGAATGTAGACAATTATCTGCGATAAGATTGGGATAGTCAAATTTATATTTTCATAAAGTATAAAATATTATTTTGGTTAAATACAAGTGCCGAAAATTTTAGTTAGTTAGTAAAACAAATGATTGCAAAAGAGACAAAAATAATCAATCAAACATTGACAAGAATGAAGCCAAAGTTAATTCCTGAAAGAACAACAAACTTATAGTTTTATTATTTTATTGTGCTTGCAGTATAATGGATTGTTCTAATCCATATAAACTTTCAGACACCGAACATATGATCCAGTCGTCGCCTTCACTTTAATAATGCCAGAGTAGTTATTTTAAAACTTTATTCTCAAAGCTATTGTAAGTATAGCAGAGATAATCTTAGTATATTTTATATGGATAGATGGCAGACAATACAGCTAATACACAAATAAGTATTCCAATATTTTCCCTTTTTATACGGTTCTTAGAATAGTTTCGGTTGCTCATCAATCAGAGTGGCACGAAATATTAACCCGAAGCTATTAATAAAGATAAAACAGATATTATCCATTAAATGTAAGGATATCCCTTAATACACATTCAGAAGCAGTGAGAGGCGATATTGAGATACTTGTCTAAAGCCTTGCCAAGGCCTTTTTTCAATTTTCGCACTTAAATGGATAAAATATCCAATGTCCATATAAACAACTCTCACTGTCATTTTAACTTCGTGACACGGAGAACTGAGCAGGATTTATTAACTTCGATATCCAACAATGTAATTGATCTCCGATTGGATTGCATCACAACCTCGTAAATGAGGGAAATATTAAACAATTGAGAAAATAACGAAAGTGAGAAAAGCCTCGGAAACAAACATTTGAAGTAACACCTGAACGGTCAACTGAAAAGACATTCTTTGATCTGTTTTTTGGATATTAAAAAATTAGAGGCAATTAGAATTTAGTTAAAGTTTTGGTGTCAATTCGGAGAGGGAAATTCAGAAAATAGGGAATTATAGTTGGTATTACCCAGCAAAATTTACTCGCGCTAATTATGGGAGATTACAGACAAGTTTAGATCAATACGTGCATTAATTAACGGACATAAATTATAATCAGCAGTATTGTTTAATAACTAATTTGAATATACGTGTTAACAATCATCATTATATGATATGATATTCAGAATTATAGAACTATCGAAAATTACACCAAATGGAAATTTAAAGAAATTATAATGCTCATATAATATTTTATTTCTTTACTTCATATAAATAACTATTTGGAAAACCGAATGATACTCGTATTTCGAAGAAGCAGTACATAAATTGTGAAATGTTGGAAGAGTATTCGCTGTCAAGCTTCCATCCAATTTACGTGTTTTGAGTATTTCATTTCTCCTCTGTCAGTGTCAAATTGGATTTATAATAAATAGATATAAATCATAACGGGTCGTTGAAGCATCAATCTTAGGTCCTAACAAGATAAGTGGGTCTACCTAAATAAAGCTTTAACAATTTCGACCATTAATTATCCGAAGGAATAGGTGCACGATAATTAAATCAACTTTTTTATACTTTCAAGTAATTTTTTCTTTCAACGTCTTTAAGTTGTTTAATAGAATAGAGTGATTCCCGAAGTTGTTTTGGTCATTAATCTTGAGAAGCTAAAGGCATGCTAAAATTACTTCCTCTCCTGAAGAGCAGCTTGTATAACGTGATTTAATAATGGTTGGGTTAGTAAGGTAGAAAATTTGGTTTTAAAAACGGTCGTTAGACGGGGTGAATTGAGTGACGTTTTTATAAAATTTTGTTTGTAAGTTTCGATTATTTACCATCACCAAGGATTTTTGATGAACTGTTTCAAGTCGACTTCTTTAAATATGTTCGAGTCGCACTGGAATTGTTCAATGTCGAAGTTGTGCTCAGCCTTCGGGCACGACACTGGTTTGAACGCAAAAACACTCCCAACTTGTGGATTGATCAGTTTTTGGCCAAAAATTAGTGTCGTGCTCGAAGAGCTCGCCACAACAAACAAAATCGAAATTGTTCAATGTTTTCTTTGATTTATTTTCCTGACCGTGCGTAATTGTTATCATATTATTTGCCTTCCTGAGTTTCAGCCAAAGTGTGAAATACACATTTTTATATCGCTTATTTCATAACGTTTCGGCTAGACAATAGCGCCATCAACAGATTTAAAATTCATACAAACTCATAATTGGGAAACATTTTATTCTTTTAGGCCTTGGCGATCATGAAACCTCAAATTTGTTTGAATTATTATCTTGCCGAAACGTTATGCAATAAACGATATAAAAAAATTATTTCACACTTTGACTGAAACCCAGGAAGGAAAAGAATATAATAATTGTTCAATGTCGAAGTTGTGCCCAGACCTTCGGGCACGACACTGGTTTGGACGCAAAACACTCTCAACTTGTCGATTAATCAGTTTTTGGGCTAACAGGAGTATCGTGCTCGAAGAGCTCGACACAACAAACAAAAACGAAATTATTCAATATCGAAGTTGTGCCGAGCCCTTCGGACACCACACTGGTTTAGACGCAAAAACACTCTCCACTTGTCGGTTGATCAAGTTTTCGCCAAAAATCAGTGTCGTGCTCGAAGAGCTTGGAACAACAGACGTAATAGACTTTGTTCAATATCTTAGATTCAGTCTTAAGCATATCTCTTATCTCTCTTCGAAACCAAAAATTAACAGACTCTTCGCTTCCACAACGTTTCAATTTTGGATCATTATCAGACATTTTATACAAAGCTCTTCGAATGGAGTTGTGGGACGTTCTCAGAACATTTATGGTGGTGAAAAGCTGCACTAGATGCAGAAAAAACGCTTATCCTGCACGTTTCGTTTCCATTAGGAGAATTATAATCAGGCTTTCATTGATATATATTTTTTTTATTTTTGGTTGCTTGCACACACCGTTGCCAGTGTTTCCCAACAAGAAAACTTGTTTCATCCCATTGATAATAGCCAGTCGTTGACTCAGTTAAAAGATGTAAACTTGCGTCTCTGACTGTTAGAAATTTCGATGTTTTACCATTATCAGGATCTATTTTGAAAATTTATCAAAGGCGAAATATTGTTTTAGCTTTTATTTTGGTTCCCACCCACATTGCTAAATGTCCTTAGATTGTGATTCAAGCAAAAATTCTGAAACTGTGTTAAAATCCAAGCATGAATGAATTCATTTCTCAGCGATTGACATACAAATTTTATTGCAAAAGGCAAGTCATCAAAATAAAATGAAATCGATCATTAATTAAATTCTGCAAAAGCATAAAATTATTCTCTCATCGGCTTTCAAAATAAAACGAAAGACATTGAGGGGTTAAAATAGAAAGTTTTCATAATCCATATAGATCTCGAATAATTATAAAAATATTTCAAAGACTTACTGGACAGAAAACGTTCATAAATACAGAGGCAACAAAATATCTCATGGGTCCCATTTCACATTATTATTGAGGAACGTGAGTATCCTTTGTGAGCTTGCATGCAATTACGCAGACAACAACAACGTAGGTTTGCGGTCGGATTTCATCATATTAGAGAATACGTACTTTTTTTTTCATTGCTGTCATACTTTCCGACCTATTGCTATTTATGCTTTCAAATAGCCCACCCTGTATATTGTTTCCAATATCGCGCCATCAAATATCATCATTCATAGCTTATTTATTCTTCCAGTACAATGAAAATTCATAACTTCAAGGCACGCTAAAATTGAAATTAAATTCCCGTCGTGAAAAGGCGCGACTAAACACTATGGAGGACGCACAACAGAAGTTCAAAAAATGTGTGCAGGATGAACGGAATAAAACATAAATTTCAATATATTTAAATTAAAATTTGTTCCTTATATCAAACGGATAAAAATGTAATTATACTACAATAGATTTCTTCATAAGCATCAAGGATATTAACATTTTGAAGATGAATATATTAAAGTTTTCCTAAACATCTCATTACCAGTGTATTTACTACAGTTTTAATATGAAAGTTTAGTCCTTTCAGACCGAAAAACTCAATATTTGTGCTAACTTTCTGAATATTATTTTCAAATTAATTAGATCGCAATTAAGTTATGCGTCATTAACTGTTATAAATGTTCAGTAATCTCTTTCATATTTTATTAGTGGGTTTTTCGCCAAAATATTAAATGAGCTGCGGAATAGTGGTGTCCAAATAATTTAAGTTAACTGTATGTTTGACTTCATACAAGATTATTTTTTTTTTTTTTTTTACTGGCAAATTAAGCAAATATATATTTCAATTCTTGAATTGTATTTGAATAATTTCAGTTGTAAATATGTGACAATAAAAATGTGATTCTGACCTATATATTGTCACCTATTGATATGTATAGTAAGTAGCTTTATTGCCTCGCTGTATAAATTACAAAAATCCTACTACACATCAGTGTGTAAATCAACTTTACGGTTATTAAGACTGCCATATTCAGCCATTACTCACTGTAACCCTTATTTATATTTTCCGCTGTACAACGCAAAATCCGTAAAAGTTCATTTAGTATTCCGATTTACAATAAGCTCTTTCAAACATTTCGCTTAAAATATTTGCATAGTGTAATGACGTAGTCTTTATTTGCGAGAACTAATAAAGCCAGTAATTTGTTTTCAATTAATAACTCTACAGTTCTGTACAAATAGCATGAAATATTGGTAATGAACTTGTGGAACTTAGAATGTCGTTAATAAATAAATGTAGCTCATTTATTTACTGCTAAGGGCAGCAGATAGAGATATAAAGTTGCCTGCTCCCTGCAGATAAATGAGTATGAATTCAGCTGGAAAATACAATTTATTTTACATAGCTCTTTCTACAGGTTGAAGTGGTTTCATAATCACCTTAGGTTGTAAACTAAGTCATTTTCCAGCTATTGATATACAAATTACATAATATTTGATTGCAATAGAAAAATTTATGTAATAAAATAGAATCGAACTTTAATAAAATTCTGACAATTTTTCAAGCGTTTCTCTTTTATTATTATCGGCTTTTAAAATAAAGCAAAGGACATAGAGGGGTTATAAAATCAATTAAACGAACTCCACATACCAATTTACGCCAGTTTATTAAAATTTCGTATGAAAAATCTTATTTTGAAATTAATTTTTTGATGCCTTGTACCTCAGATGATCAACTTTACAAGACAGCAACATTACTTCACAGGTTACAATAAAAATAAGGAAACGATTTTGCATCAAACAGTCGAAGAGACTTTGGACTGTAAAAATACAAAAAATGCTATTGCTTTGATCCAAAAGGCTTCCTATTTTCCCGAATTTCGTCACTTTTAATTTGAAGTAGATTGTATCAGTTCTAATTTAGAATGTACCCAAATTTACGGAGCAAACATCTTTAACGCTTTAGAGGCGCAATAAAAATGCAAATTCGGCTTACTTAATATTATTAAAGCTTAATCCTTGACAGCAGAAAGACCAGCATGCACAAAGTTCCGCTTCACTGCTGATTTTTGTTTTTGTCTTGAATATTTAAATAATTTTTTGAATGCAAATACATTTTCGCATAGATATGACCAATTAATTAAAAGTTTAAATATAAATTAAAATGCGCTCTTCTACTAAGTAGTTGCGGATGAACTGTTTTAAACTGAAAACGAAGTTTCCTCCATTTCATTCTTAATCGTCAGAGAATAAGAGAACTATGGAAAAATGAGCGAGACCTGCTGAATTAAAATTTGTAACTTATTGCCAGCGCTGCTATAAGGGCGTTCATAAATAATCTGGAACTGACTTCATTTCAGCCTGGCCGCTAATAACTATTTTGCAGCTATGCTTTATTACTAGCATTTAGGCACAGATTATCTGAATTTTTCGACCCATTACATATTAGAATTGCTGGCTGTATAGCAAAGCAAAAAATGTATTATTGTCAATGAAAATTGATGCCAAACTCTGTTTTGTTTTTAGGAGAATTTTGATGGCAGCCAAACGAGCAAATGCATCACGACATTTCTACTGGATAGCCAGTGATGGATGGGGCAAACAGCAAAAGCTGGTCGAGGGAATTGAGGAAGTTGCTGAAGGATCAATTACAGTTGAACTGCAGTCTACAAACATACCAGAATTCGACACCTATATGATGACTTTGATACCAGAAGAGAACAAACGAAACCCTTGGTTCGAACAATACTGGGAAGATTTCTTTCAATGCACCCTTCCAAAGAATCTTCCTTTAGAAACCAATTATACTTTTAACATTTGCAACGAAGACCTGAGATTAGCAACTGAATATGGGTAAGTCGGGCGTGCTTTTCTAAATTAGCTTCTTGCAACACTCTTGAGAAATGGTAAGTTTCAATTTTAAGAAAAAAAATGGAACTGGAGTCACTTAACTAAAGTACCTCCGGCCAAACCATTGGCAACAAACTACTGTTATTTGTGACGGCATAAATAATCAAGCTATACTAAAAACCCTTGTCATAAAAATTCAAAACCTATTGATCGTTTCCATTGTGACCATTTAAATTCAAATTGTCTACGTATGTTTACAAATTTTGATCAGGGAATACTCTGGCTAGTATAAAATTCATTCAGCACAAAACTGCCAAACCGATTGTTTACATGTACCACTTTAAAACCATTTCTGCATGTTTCCGTGTCATATTTGCTAACTTTTGATGACTTTTGATGGCCATTCGAATGGCGTTAACTTTTACTACTGGTATTATTGATCATTTACCGCTACACGAGATAAACACAATTTATATTAAATCGCATTTATCTTCTGCTTTTGCTTTCGAATGACGGGAAGAATATGGACTTGTTATAAAACGAGGGTTACCATAAAGTTGAAGCAGCGAAGGATTAAAGAGCGGGCATTCGAAATGTCGCTAATCCCTTTCCTAATTCAGAGTCTGAAAAACTTCAGAAAGTTCAGCTTCAAGAAAAGTTTTAGGGTAGGTACGCTGGATGAAAATATATGTCTAAAACTGAGCTCAGACTTTGCTCTTGTTGTTTGTGTAAGAAAAGGTCTTAAAGCAGTGGAGGAAAATGGAAAAATGTATTTGAATTATAGTACCCTAATACGGGTTTATTGTTTGAAGGAAAACTTTAGCAGCGAAAGAATTTAATTCAGTGACTGCCCTAGATAACAAAGATCGTTTTACCTTAGCCCCATAATTTATCGACAAAATACTACAAAAATTCAGAGATCTCTTATTGTGTTCAAAGCACACAAATACCCATAGCACCCTTGTGTGCAATAACAGAAATGCAACTTAGTTTTATTAGCAGGACAACTTTGAAGAAACTTTTGTTGGACAATGCAAGTTAGACAATTCTCCTAAACTTCCGCAGAGCAAAACATGGAAAGGTCTTTACAAGTAACAGTAATATGAAGTAGGTACCTTTGTAGGTGTGATAACATTTATTTTCTAATTTATATGATTCTGTCACTATTTTGTGAAAATTTAAAATAAATTTGATTTTATTCATTCAAACTGAATAATACGTTTTCGTAAGAATTGAGGAGGATGCAGAGCGGCCTAACAAACGTGCAAACCATGTAAAATTCTCGAAGGAATTTGCTAATTATATCTAACCAATTAAGCAAGAAAACTTAGGCCGGGAGTCGATCTTTTACGATTCGCCGGTCTCCCGACGTTCGCTGGATGCAATTTGGGTTGCGTACCCGATCGGTTGGGCATCTGACGCACGCGCATTTTAATGTTATTGGGAGATGTGGTGGGAATTTGCCAGAGATGGATGTAGGCATCTCCGAACGATCGCCAAAGTTCTCAACTTCTCGTATTTTTTATACTATGTTTCATTTTAAATATATAGATAACGATCTCGATGTATTGTACAGTCAAATATGTACTATCAATATATATTCTGATAATTGATTAATGAATGGCAACAAAACAATTTGCACAATTTCCTTTGAGAAACGAAAGTGTTTTCTTAAATCGGCTTCAGTAAATTTCTCTAAGGTATTTTCCATATCTCGAATATACCTGAAAATAACACAATTCTTATTTGAATTGCATATCACGCGTGTTGATATTTTCTTTACGCACCTGGTATGTTCAAATCTAATTCCAAGTCCGACTTATCCCAATTAGCACTGTACAATAATACATCGAGACCATTATTTATATATTTAAAACAAAAATATTGTACAAAACACGCAAAGTTAAGAACTTTCGCTAACAATATAGATTTAGCAATCGTTCGGAGATGCCTACACCCATCTCCAAAAAATCTCCACCGCATCGCTCAACAACTTAAAAATGTGCGTTCAGCAAACGACGGGAGGCAGGCGCTTCGTAAGAGATCGACTATGCATATCGGTCTTAGACTGCAAAAACAAGAAAGCAATATTAAGTAAAAAATCTCGACAAAAATCGAAGTAGGAGGCAACTCACCCAGATTCCGATATTCTTGTACTGATTTGTCTTTGAAAATGCAATTCCATATTTTTAAGCAAACGGTAGAACTCCATACTATAAATGTAAATGATATGTTTTTAAGAAAGAGAAATGTTTTTCACCCAGGACACATCATCGCCTCGCAAGTGTAAAGAGCTTGAACTATTAAACAGTGTTTAAATTACAATAGTCATAATGAATGCTTGGTAGAGCAGATGGTAGCAAGTTTGTAATTTACGCATATTTGCCAAATTGCAATTTAACAGAGATAAAGCGCTCAATTAAATACTCACTGTTCTACAGTTAAATTTGCAACATCTATAATTAAATATCAAATTTGCAAACTCCATTAATAAAATAAAAACGATTAGCCTTTCATTTCAACAGTTCCTATCAGGTTGAAATAATTAAAGGCAAGAGAATTACTAAATAATCAAAGGCCAATTACATTAGTTCAATTGAAAATTGCTTCCTGTGCTGTTTAAAATGTATTCACCGTTGCTTTCCTCCGAAAGGCAATTAATTAAACAGTTGTTTCAAGTAAAGCAGCTAATTAAAATTAATAAATATAATTATGAAACTGACAATAAATACTGTAATTGGAATGAGGCAGATTAAACAGATAGAAATTATTGCTGCAAACAGCAATTAAACGATGACAGTTTACAAGCACCCTTTAATCCTAAGAGAAATAAATCTATTCTTTTTGAAGATTAAAAACGTGTTCTAATGACACCTAATTTGACAAAAAGGAATGTGAACTGTTTCATTTATTTAAAAGTTCTTCTGTCGAATCTAAAACAAGACTGCTCTTTGTTAATAGAAACTAGAACGGACTGTAGGCCGAGTGAAGAATATGTTTCAAATTGTTTCCCTTCGGTTGTTCAGACTGGAAAATAACAACAGCTCAGGATTTTCCACACACGCCCACTTTGAATCAGTCACTTTTTAAGCTTTTGTACTGGAATCGCTCTTTGTTAAGTGGAACGTTGGACTTATAATTATTGATCGTTTTATAAATACACTAAACAATAGTTAAATATTTAGTAAATTGTTAAAATGTTAAAATAGAAGCAATTATTTCACATAAACTAAATCATTAAATTTCTTATTTTGCTTTAAGTTTGCAACTTTATAATCACAAAAAATGAGCAACTGAATGGAGCAGGAAAGACGTTCAAATGTAAGTAAAAGAATTAGATATTGATTACATCAAATAAAGTTATCAAAGCGGCAATAAACCAACCCACTCTAATAAATATTCAGGTATATTTTTGAAAGTTTTCTCATTGACAGAACAATTCTTAGACAAATCTTTCCATTTATACAGGATTTTATGCCCTTTCCAGACAGGTGTAATGAATCCTTTCTCAGATGTCAACATGCTTTAACATTTCCCGGTGATTTTTCTCCGCTCCTCCTTTTTCACTGCATATCATTTAGAGGAATTTTAAATTGTGAGATTTATGACATGACAATCAGAAACGACTGCAAGCAGATTTACATACATTATGTTCACCATCATTTTGCTAATAGTAAAATAATTTTTTCTATGAAAGCGTCATTTTCAATTTTTCCCAACGATCTCCTCCATTTAATCAACACGTATTCAGACCTTGCATAGTAAATTAAATTCTCCATGGATATGTGCGATATGCAAATTGTGTTTTATCGTGTATTCGCGGACATCTAATAAGCAAATAATAAACATTTCATACATATAGCATTTGCAACAAAACGTGCACGATTGTGAAGAGTTTTTCTGATTTTTGAAGAATGAACGTTTATAAAATTTAAAATTATTTTTAAGGCAATATTTATACTCAGTGGGCTTGACATATATTAACATTTTGGACCAAAATCTGGGACGACATATACCCAGATAGGCAAAGATATATGGAGAACTGGCTATGAGTTGTCATGAAGAAAGCCCATTTGCACCCTATAGTTAAGCTAGATCTATACAAAAGAACTTTTCCCACACACCGAAACGACAACAAAAAGCCATACCACCAGATTGCTAACAGCCTCCAATTGAGGCTGAAGAGCTCACAACGGCAATATCTCAAATAAAGAATAAAAATGCTGCTGGTCCAGATAGAATACCACCAGGCGTGGTAAAGGCCGCACTGGCTGCAGCTCTATCGGAACTTGACACCCTTCTGCACATTCATAATACACGGAAAACATGAGTCCATTAAATTTAGGCCAATCTGTCTACTGGACGTATTCGGGAAACTTGAGTCATTGCAAACATGCTCTATAGCAAAATCAATGGAAAACTATAAGCCACCAATACGGATTCAGGAAAAGCCGGTCCACTAATGCAATACAAGAGGTGCTAAAGATCGTAAGTAGTACCAAATGAAAGGCTCCAAATAACCGAGAACTCTGCGTAATGGTCACGGTATAACGTAATCGGAGGAAATCATGCTAGCGCTGAAAGACATGGGAGTATCATTATATCTCCGCCGAATAATATCATGCTATATCTCGGAAAGATCTGTACTTGTTGGACGGGGCATGAGTATGCAAATGTGGAGTGCCACAGGGTGCTATTTTGGGACCTATCCAGTGGAATAAATTCTATAATCATGTGCTTACAATAGAAGTACCTACTGGGACCACCATCATTGGATTCGCTGATTACATAACCGTTACCTGCAAAGCAACAACACAGCTGGAGCTAGTCGCCCTAATGCTCTATGGAAGCAGGAAATTCAGCACAACAAAATCGCGGTTGAAATATATCTGAGTAGTATTCGCTCACAACTGTGAACTGAAGGAACTTGTGCTGGCATGTAGCAACAAACCTGAAAAGCCTATAATGGCACTAAGCAGAAATATGCCGAACCCAGGCGGACA